TATATATATATTTTTTTTTTTTTTTACTTTTTTGTTTTTCATGTACTTTTTAGGAAATGAGATGGGTGGTATATTAACTATTGATGATTCTATACGAATTACTTTTGGCTTATAATGAAGCAGATTGTTAAATTTGGTACCCAATTTGGTGGGTGATGTAAACCTTTGGAAGTACTTGCTCATAAAGGAATTTTGCAGTTGATTGTCGGATTCAAGGATATGTATATAGTTCCTTAATTCTTAAACCATCTAGTCCCAACCATTTAACTACCACCACTTAAAACCATGAGATGCCCTTTTTTACTTACGCAGCATGATATAAGCAAGATTATTAGATATTATTGCCCTACTTTACCTCCTATTTTACCTTAATGGATTTTTTCAATGTATGGTTTTTGATGTTAGATTTAATCACAATCATATCAAAATATATGGCCTCGTTCACTTCGCAGATTCGAGTTTTCAATTCGAACTGAGATGTAATATTTTTTTAGAGCTTTCACTGTAGTAAAAAAAATTAGATGTGATATTTTATGATAACTTTTTATTGTAAAAACTTAAAACTGAAAATTCGAATCGGTGAAATGAACGAGGTATACACACTTTAAATTGATAAAATTTGATACAAATCTAACCGATCCATAATTTATACCCTACCGTAAAAATCTCAAGGCAAATAAAACCAACAAGTTGATTTTCCTTTTCCCGTCACAAGTTTTCTCATATCATGCCCATAAGACCCTTTGGTTAGGGAAGGTAGTGATTTCAAGTTCCGTGGAAGCAAATTTCACGCTTCATCAGCTAAATTTATTTTATTTCCTTTTCTGATTTGTTTTCTTTTTCTTTTTGGGTAGGGGGAAAAGGGTCAGCCTCAAATAAGCCACATGGGTTAGGATGCGCCACATATTGAAATGAAAGAACAATCTGACGTGCCATTGTGCAGTAGCTATTCTTTCAAATCTGAAATCTTAAGGAAAACATCAATAATATTGTTGAACGATAAAGAGTTTTTTTTTTTTTTTTTTTGACAAAAATTTATTTTTTTAACTGTACAATCTGTATTAAAAATTATTTATTATATATACATTTTTAATTTAATATAAAATTAAATTTTGTGAACATTTGGTTTATGAATTCATAATTATGATTCAGAATTATTTTTAATTTACGTGTATTTTTGTGTGAAAGAAAACATTATAATAAATCACAAATTATGATCCGAACCATATTAATTCACCAACTAAATGCACTCGCACTCGTAAATAGTGAGAAATTGTCATACAAATAGATTGAGTTATGGGAGCAACTCTCTTAAACAATATAGGGAAATAGTAGAAAATAGGCCAATATGAAAAGCTTAAGAAAGTATATAGGCTAATTTTTAGTTATAGAAATTAATAGGCCATAACTTATTAAGTTATGATTCATAACCAGATAAGTTATGAATAAACTTGTCAAGTTATGGTTCAAAGCCAGACAAGTTATGGATAATTATGGACAATAACTTGTCAAGTTATGGTTCATAACCAGACTAGTTATGGACGAAAACAGTAATTTAACCTATTTATTAACTTATGTAAACTATTGGCCTATTAATTTTAATTCATCTCAAATCTTTTGATCTATTTATCTCCTTCTTTCAACAATATATATATATATATATATATATATATATGTAAGTGGTTCTCTAGACTAGTGTCCAGTACTATTCAAACCAAGTGCCTAGTCTTGAAGAGCAATCAAAGCTGATAGTGATGAAACCCAAGCACCCGTGTGCGATGGTACCTCAAAACAAATTGGGACCTCATCACTCATTAGAGAGAGAGAGAGAGAGAGCGCTTGGCTCAAAGCAAAGGTTTGGTCCTAAGTTTGACACAGGACACATGTCAACCTTTCAAACTCTTGAGAGTGACCCTTTTAAGGGGCGACTGTCCTACATCTATCTTCCATCTCTTTGTCCAAACTAACAAAAATGAATGTTTATTTTTTTTTTCTTTTTTTAGAATATTATGATAGGTCACAAAAGAATAGCTTATATCTTTAGTTTTACTTTAAACCGTCCTATGTGTATCTCTTAATTAGTTTTAATTTCATATTTTTTTTTTATGTAATAATGTGCTAAGACATGTATATTAATTGCATACAACAAACACATTAAAACATTCATAATTCTTATCCTGTAATTCTTATTTTGTATAATGACACGTGTCATTATTATTATCAACGACTTAAAAAGTTCTATAAAGTGATGAGTATCATAAAAATTATATGAGAATTTCTTTAATAACTCCTGAAAAAATAAAATATCATAGTATCTTATTTTTTAATCATAAGATCTTATTAGAATTTATCTTTTATATATATTCTTTGTAGGGAGAAAGAGGAAAATATGTCAAGATTTGAGATGAATTAAAATTAATAGGTTAATAATTTACATAAGTTAATAAATAGGCGAAATTACTGTTTTCGTCCGTAACTTGTCCGGTTATGAACCATAACTTGACAAGTTATTGTCCATAATTCACGATTTTTGTCTATAACTTGTCTGGCTATGAACCATTACTTGACAAGTTTGTCTATAACTTATCTGGTTATGAACCATAACTTGACAAGTTATAATCTATTAATTTTTATAACTAAAAATTGGCCTATATACTTTCTTAAGCTTTTCATATTGATCTATTTTTTACCATTTTTCTAATGTGATTTTATCGTATCTAACCGTTAAAACTTGAGATAATTCGGACTACCGAAAAATTATCAAATTATTATATATTGCACTACCAAACAATCAAAATATGGGATTATAATGTTTGTATACAGAAGCTCATTCATGGTGGGTCAACACCCCACATGACTATGTACCCTCTAACACTCATTAATGTGCCTTTGAGCTTTCTGCAACTTTGTGCAAACTCAGATACGACCAAATCCAACCCCTCCTCCAATCACCCCCATTGGCTACTTTCAACTAAACCCAAAATTGACCCTCTTCACAAGTACTCAAAAAAGTCTTTTATACTACCCCTTCTCTAGGTAAAATTCTCTTCCTTTTGAGGGGGAAAAAAAAAGGGGTTCGGATAAAGATAAATAAAAATACTAGAAGTTGTTTCCTATTCACTTCTAGTTGAGTAAAACAAAAGTATGTTTTTTCTGAATACCACGCAATCTCATCGTTACATTCGGTGAAAATTGGCATAATTCCAAATCTCGAATGGGTATTGATTAAAAATTTATAATCGGTCTGGACGGCTGAAAACAAAAATATTATAAATTGAAGTAGTTGTCCTGTTTATTTTACTTATTTAAATTTTATTATAATAAAAAATTTTAAAAATATTTTAATTTAAATTAAAAATTAAATTAATAAATTAAACAGGTCATTAATAATACAAAGCGGGTAAATAAATCGGAGAAATATAACAGCCAACTAATAAAACAAAAAACAAAATAGAAAAATAAGGAAAATGGAATTTCACAATTTAGTTATTATACAAACTCAGATTTGCGTTGACTACTTTGATGATATCTCTCAACGAAGTATGAGATAAAATTACTTAAAAAGAAAAAATAAGAAAAGAGGGTAGAATCTAGATAGTAGAGAACTTGTATTTAACAGAGAAATTACTGAAGAGGAGAGAAAACATAATAAAAAAAAAAAAAAAACAGAAAATAAATTTTTTTTAAAAAATATATGAAAAATAAAAATAAATACTCAAGTTGTCGGCGCGGAGCCGGAGCCGGAGCTTGAGCCGCCGGAGAGAAGCTCCGCGAGAGCCGACATGGTTCGGACTTGCATCTCCAGAGCCGCTATGTAATCGGTGGCTTCCTCAAGAATAACCGGAAGAGGCTGTTTCCGGCAACCGGGAACCAACCGGCCAAGAACACGGACTTTCTTCTGCACAGCCGGCAAATTCTTCCCCTTTAACCGGTAAACGCTCACTCTCGGCTTCCTCGTCGACCGGCTACTCCCGGTCCGGTACCCTCTGTCTCTTCTGCTTCCTGAACTTCAGCTTGAGCCGGTTCGTCAGAATGGCTCGGCTCCAGCGCGTGCGCCCCTTAGCAGTCACGGCCAAGGCTCTATCCGCCGCCTCCCGCACGGCTCTTCCCCGCCGCGGCGCCGGCGGTGGGCCGCCGCCGTCGCCGCCAATGGTGACGTGGCTGAGGGCCTTGAGGAGTTTAGAGGAGTAGATTTGCTGTTGCGCCTCGGACTTCCAGGTCTGAGCTTGACGCGCCAAATCGGCGTGGTCCTGTTTGGCTAGCGGGAAAGTTTTCTTCTTTCTGAGTTTCTTTCTCTGCGGGCGATCGGTGTTCGTTACGGGATTGGAAGAAGAAATCAGAGATGATGGGGTGGCCATCTCCACCGTCGGATCCGATCCAATACCAGATTCCGAATCTCTGTTTCTCTCTATCTCTCCAAAAACCCCGTTCTTCAAAGATGACAGAAGAAGTAGAAGATAAATTAGAGATTAGATTAGGAGAGATAGAGAATTAGAGATGAAGAGTGATTGATCACCTATTTAGATGAAATAAATGAGACAGTTTTAGAGAGAGAGAGAGAGAGAGAGAGAGAGGGGATAAACGGAACGGAGTTGGTTGAGGGAGTGGCGTATGGATGAATATGATGAAGGTTGAGAGAGAGAGAAAGAGGAGAGAGAAACGGTGGGGGAGTGAAATGAAAATAAAGGAATGAAAAGAAAGAAGGCGTCGTTTGGGTTTATAAATAATAAAAAAGTAATGCTCATTGCTCACACACATATACATTTCTCTTCTTTTGGATGGCCATGGGTTCGAGCCTTATTGGTGGCTCGGAATCAGGATGATTCCCCTGTAGTTATCAATTGCTTTCTACACTAGAAAAAGATGCGATTTATTCCTCGCAAATTATCACCGTATAACTTTCTCGAAAATTTTTACCGTGTAGTTTGCTATTTTACGTTATTAGTGAATAATAGTTATTTTTAATTATTAAATTAATTTTTTTATAAAATTAAATAATTTATTCGACCGTAAAGATTTTAATCTTTTATTATTAGAATGGAGATTTTTATTGTAGAATATAAAAAATATATTTTCAAAAATGTAAAAAAATAAAAATACTAAAGTGGTGAAACATAATCAGATTTTTATTAGATTTGGTCAGATTGTTATATTTTCTCATACATTTACTAAAGATTTTTTTCCAATTTAAAAAAAAGATTTGTTATTAATTGAAAAAATAGTGTTGATATTTATTACCTATTGATTGTGACAACACAAAAGTTGAACTTTCATATAGAAAAAGCTAATATGTAACTGCCGTTAGAGATGTCAGATGTGTTGTGTTGTGCCGATTCAGTCCATAATTAACTAAGTTCATACGTGTTTCATATCATGTTTGGTCTGACTCTAGTGCTGAAATTTTGGACAGGCCGCCCGCGACCATAGAAAATTTTAAATTTTTACCCGATGACTGAGCCCGTCAGAGCCTGAATTTTCGGGCTGCTCGACTCGACTCGAAGAAGGCCATGGACGGGCTTTGGGTAGGTTTTGGCTGCATTTATATACTATTATATATATTATATATAATTTTATTTACTAATTGTATATGGTATGTATATAAATGATTTTTAAGTTATTTATTGTAAAAATTATAAGGGATGTTGCAATTTGAAATTTGAAATGAACACGAACTATATAAAAAGATATTTATTTATTAATTTTTAAATTTGTAATTCATGATTATCTCGTTAAAAATTTTACCAAGAAAAACCCAATTGGGATAAAAACTTGGTAAGAAAAAAAGAGTGCAATCATTCTGGGACGAATTACAAATTTGACGAACTTACAAAGTTTATACAAGATTACAATAACATTGTACAAAGTAAATAAATATTTACAAATTACAATAATAGAATTTAATTTGAAGCTGAAGGATTGTCTTCAAAATTAAAAGTTAATCTATTAAATTCGTCGATCCATTTTTGGCTTGCCGGGGAAATTGAATCGTGTAAGTGTTGATCTCAAGTATGTTGTGTCGTGAATAGTGTTACCTTGTAATTTGTCACAACAATATTTGCATTGAGCTATGTATTTAATGATACCGTTATTGTCGACCTCCTCGAATGTGTTGAAGTGCTCCTAAACTATTGAGGTGTGCTTGCATTTCTTCTTGAAACTTGCAACACTACACTAGTACTTCCACTTGCCTATCCTCCACGCCCACCATCGTTACGACCACGAGGTCTACGACGTCTAGTACGTCCACCATGGCTCGGATTTGCAGTTTCCTCAGCAGCTCCTTCTGGTGTTTGCGATTCCTGCGTTTGAAAAACATTAGTAGGAAATTATCCTTCTTCAATGTTCAGTTGGGCATCAACGGGAATATCACCACCATATCCGAAAGAATCCATTATGAGAAATAAGAGAGATCAAGAGCGCTTTGAGAGAGATTAAGAAAGATCGAGAGAGATTTGAGAGAGATTAAGAGAGATCGAGAGAAATTAAGAGAGGATGAGAGTTTTTGGGTGAGAAAAATGGTTGGGGGAGTTGGGTATTTATAGGGAATTTTTTGGCTTGAAAAAAAAAAATTTTCCCTAAAAAATTCAACTCCAACGGTAACTTCATTTTTTGGCGGGTCGAGTCGGGTTCGGGCAACCCGGACAACGGTAAAAAAAAAAAAGAGCCGTTGGAGTCAGGTAGGCTGGCAGCGGATCGGGTCGGGCAAAATGTAGCCGTTGCATTCAAAATTTGGGCAAAATTCAGGTTAACGGTGAAAAGGTGGGATCGGGTCGGGCAAATTCAAAAAACTAGCTACTTTTGGAATTTTGGGCAAAAAAATCGGGCTTCGGGTTACGGTGGAAAATAAAATAAAAAACGCCGGCCGGCGGTCACAGTTCCCCCACCAACGGCGGGCTGCCGGGAAGAGTTTTCCTCAGGTTACCCGAGCCCGAGTCCGGATAATTAGGGTGGACGGACAGAAATGGTGTCTGCCCGCCGAGCCTAAAAATTTTCGGACTTCGGACAAGCCCGCCACCCGAAGTTCCACCACTATCTCACTCACTAAAATCTGTGTCGTGTTTGTGCCAACTCAAGATTTAAAATCATAGATCCGACTCGGCTCATAGTTCCAAGCACATTCATGCTTGTATCTTATCATGTTCGTGCTTTTATTATGCTAAGCATAATGGACTTTTGGGTTAGTAATTTGGACGATTGAGTTGTTTTAATTTATTTTTTGTATGATGCAGACTAATTTTTTGAACAATTTTGTTTTTAAAAAAAAAAATAGTTCAAATAAAAATATAATTTCATTTTTTTAAAGAGAATAAACATATATAATATTGTACGTAAAGCATAGATGAGATTGGTATATATAGACCGATTATAAGAATCACATATAAACATGCAATTAAAAAAGAACCGTTGAAATAAGATTTGAGAATATCAATCGTCAAATGTACTAAATATAAGCAACAAATATATTATATTATGATATGAGATAAATCAATCACATTTAATTTTGTTAATTATTACCATTGTGAAAATGAAGAAAATCAATGCAAATCATTTAATTTCTTTACAGTCAAAAGAATTAATTCTATTTTTGTGGAAATATAATTTTTTGAATTATTGAAAAATAATGTAACATTAATATAAAAATTATATAGTAAACATGAAAAAAGTTATATTCGTCATGTCGGTCCATCGTGTTCAATGATTTGTGTCGTGTTCGTACTTATTATCGTGTTGTGTCACACCTACATGCTTAAAATTATGAGCCAGCACGACCCACTAGCTCATGTAGTGTTTAACCTAGCTCATAATAATTTTGTTATGTTGTGCTCAGCAAAAAAACTTTCGTGTTGTGCCATCATACTCGATAGACGGCACCAACCTAATTGACATCTCTAGTGCTGCTTTAAAATCTATCGCTCTAATCATGAGACTTCAGTAAATTATTTGATGTTTGGTTGGATGATTCAAACTATGATTTGAATCATGGTTCATGGTTCGCTATAGTGTGTTCTCTCACAAAAAATACACGCAAATAAAAAATGGTTCTAATCACATGATTTTAATTCATGAACCAAACGTCTTCTTATATATCGATATGATTCTGATGTGATCTTGTGAGTTAATATTTTGTATTTTATCGATAGAATTTTGATTTTTTTTTTAACTCTACTATAGAATTGCGCAACTAATAATAATGTTTTTCATTTAGTGAGTGTTGTTTAATCACAGACTTTTAGCGCCGATATTAGTATGAACTTAATTATATTGGATATTCTTACATGATCGTATTTTAGTGTATGATTTAATAAAAAACAAAATGTACATGTTTAACAATGCTTAATACTTGTTGTGATGTTCGGTAATTCTTCTTCTTCTTCTAATTTGTCCAATTAGTTTAACTAAAGCATGCAATGAAATTGGTTCAGTGGTCAATATCTTATCATTTAAGCCATAACCTAGGCGTGAGATAAAGTCTCGTCAGTTGTCTAATAATAGTTCAAATTTTGTCACCTAAGATTGATTATTGTGCATGAACTTGCAAAAGTAAACCTGCTACGGAATTACAATATGTAATTAGTCTTTCATTCTGATGGTTCTACTAATAGGACGCATTTTTACCGACATATCTAATTACAATCAAATCAAAATAAAAAAATAATACAAAATTGACCATTGTCAATACAAATTTAACAATTAAAAATGAAAACTTCCCTGTAGTTTTTAGTTTTTTTTCCTCATATCACAAAATATTTAATTTATAAATTTAGAATCATAATTTAAAATTATTTTTAATTTATAAGTATTTTTTTTAAAAAAAATACTGTAACGAGTTACGAATATATATATATATATATTTACATTTACTTTACGTTGATGCGTGTGAGATGTGTATTAGAATATTCTTTTATTTCCTATCCATAATTATCCTCAAGCTTATTGATATATATATATATATATATATATATATATTATTGACCAGCCAAAATGCTGAGAGTCTGTCCTTTTTGCTTAACTTTTTTAGCTACATTTAACATCTAAACTGTATTACATATAGCTGATGACAGATAGGCTAATATTCTATTTGACAATGGCAAGAAATGACAATGTCACAACTCTTACCTCATTGGTGTTACTGGAACCCCTTCAATAACTTCTTAAATTATCACCTTTTTTTTCTAGAAGAATTTTTAAATTATCAACTTGAGCTTTGACTAATTGTCAATGAGCAATATACGTTTCTTATATGAATACAATTTAGACAGAACACCTGGACAATGAAAGGGAAACCTAGATGATCAACTGTTTATATTTTACCATTTGACTCCAAATAGTAGTAACATTATTATAATTGATATTAAAATTCCTCGTTAGAGTATGAAAAAAATTAATTACCTACAAATAAAATAGAATATTGTTTTAAACCATAATATGTATCAAATTATGTTACTTTCGCAAACCTTTTTTTATTATTTTGATTTTATTTTAGTCAGATATAACATTAAAAAATATATACTATTTACTATGAAAAGTTCTCAATTTATAACAAGATATTATTTGCAATTTTTTAAGTTTAGGTACAGGGAAATTCAAAATCTAGACTGAGGATAATATGTCATTAACACAATGCGTTATGTAATTGGTAATATCATCTCATGGAATATTTAACATAGTTCTAAACTT